GATGAAATCTGTTTTTAACCAACACACAGACTTGCCAAGGGAACATCTGCATATCTTGAAGTCTTGTTCTTTCCCTGCTCCTTTCTTCATGGGTGCTGTTAGTATTGGTAGGTGGGAGCCTGAGGAAGGCCTAAGGCAGATCCAAGTGTGTGGTGAGCTGACCACTTTCTGCTGAAGCTGCTTGGCCTCTGAGTTAGGCTTGTCACTATTTGCCAGCTGACAGTTCTTGTGGTAAGTAAGGTAAGCCTGGGTAATTTTGCTTTCAATATATTTTAATGTAAAATAGCTTTTTAATCGTGGTCCTTCTGAACTGTCAACATATTAAGCAGTCTCCAGCCTTGGGTCCCTGCTAACACTGTGCATGCAGCAGTCTGTGACAAGGGACATGCCAGTGCTGTGAGCAGGAGTCGCTTCTCAAGTCAACCTAGAGCCATATTGGACTTCAGAGGGAATAAGCCCAAATGAGCATCTGTAATGGCAGTAGCATTTTCTTGCCATTGAGCTGCATTTACTTTGTGGTGTTTTGGTAGGTCCCTGTCACTCTTTACTCCTGTGCTGGGAGTGCTGCAATCTGTGTCTGAGCTCCACTTGGATCAGTACCAAGGCCATGGGTGGCCAGCAGAGCAGGGCAGCTGCAGGACTCAGTGCCTGTGTGACACCCTGCATAGCTGTTGGGAAGTGCTGTGTTTAGTTCACAGCAGTACCTGTGATGTTTTTAATTTTTCTGGCTGTACCAGTTTTGCCTCTTTTGCTGCAAGCTAACCTCATTTTGCTCTTAAAGCTCACAGCTGAAGTTAAGGACATTTAAAATGAGCACAGTGGTGGTGAGAGGAGGTCTGGTTAAATGGGGGCTTGTGTAGTTTCTTTCCACAGAGACCTACAGTCAGTTGTGTCTCACTGAGAAACAGCAGAGTGGAGTCCAGCCTGGGTGCAGGAGCTGCACCAAGATGGACCAGGGTTTGTTTATATCAATTTCTTTTTTGCTGTCCTTGGCAGTGTTCTCAGCTGCTATGCTGCTTCCCCCTCTCTGAGCTGTAGAAAGCAAGGGAGATGGGGGCTTCCAGTCCTGGAATATCACCACAGAAGAATAAGAAACTTGGTCTGTCTTGTTGCTGTGCTTCAGTCATCATACCCACAAGCATGATTCCATCCCTGCCTGTATTGCTGCTCCCACCAGGGCCATTGTTGACTGTCTCAAGATGCATTGTGCAGGCACTTGAGATTCCAAAGGAAACCTTTTCACAGCAGAGTTAGTTACCCACCCGGGTGCATTTTAATTCTGCAGAAAGTTGATCTGACTACCTCTGCCTATTCAGACATTCAGTTTCCTATTTGTAAAGAAATTATAGTTACTGTCATCATGTCACCACAGGAAGGGATGAAGGAGGTTTGGACAAAGACAGGCCCCTGAAATTGCTCTTCTGGCATATATGTGAGATGCACAGTGTTTGCTCCTTCTTTTGGCTACCCAAAAGGTGTCTTAGAGGTCACTTAACCTTGAGTATACAAGGAGTCTGATAGGCTTGGGCTGGGGAGGTGTAATTTCTGAGTAGTGGCTCAGGTGAGGATCCAGGACCCCTGGAAGGCTTTCAGTGCTGGCAGTGTGCCCTGAGCCAGGGCTGAGCAACTTCTCTGGGCCTGTGTTTGCAGATGGTACTTAAGTGGTGCCAGCACCAACAGACTCCAGGAGCTCTTGTCCTCGCTGTGCTGCCATCCTTGTCCATGGTGAAATGATCAGAAGACCGGCAGAGGGTGATGGGTTTGAGGGTTGCACCATAATCCAGTGAAGTCCCTGGCTTTTCCTTACAGCATGGCAGGTCCCTGAGAGCCCTGGGCAGCCTGGCAGGACCAACCTGTTGCTGATGCCTGTTGCAGGATAGGTCAGTCCTGCATATGCAGGAAGCACATTTGTCTTTAATCCTGTAATTGAGAGGTTCAGTAACAACTTGCCTGTAAAGATCAAAAGCTGAGGTACAGGATCTTTCCTGCCTGGTTGCTGTCATGGTTGGGAAGATTTCAGCTTCCCTGCGCACAGGTGCCTCCTTTTATCTGAGCAGCTCTAGCAGCTCTGCAGGGAAGCTGTAGGGCTGCCTGCTCCCCAAAAGCTCTCATCCAGAGGGCCATATCCTGGCTTGGCTGAGTGTTATTTGCAGGTGGGGGACAGGTGACAGCAATACCCCTGCCTGCATGAGGATGGGGGCACACTTGGTCCCTGGAGAGGATTGCCATTTATGTGCAAAAAGGGGCAATTGAAGCAGATGATGTGACTGGAGAAAGCCTTGGTGGTCACTTAGCATGTTACCAAGCAAAGCTGCAGGATGTGGAGGGCTGCTCCATTGTGCAGGGAACAAAGCTGAGCTATTTGCTGGCCTGTGACAGGCACTGGTGATGGAAGGAAATGCCATCGAGATTGCGAGCCATTTCTGCTCAGCCCTGGTGTCCTTGCCAAGAACGGACAGAGACCATATGAAGATGAGAGGTGATGGGGGTGCTGTCCTGTGTGCTTTGCAGCCCTGATCCCTCCTCACAGTCATCACACGCAGATCTGCAGAGTTTCCAGGAAATAAAAGAAGTCTCTTTTCTCTCTCTCCTGTCTGCATGGAAATGAGTACCCCAGCCTTAGATAAGGCCTTCACAGGGCATCTGCTTTCCTGACTGGTTACTGTAGAGTCCAGGCAGGCCTGCAGGATGTCCCTCTCCTGCGTATTGCTCTCAGCACCCTCTTTGACAGCCCTGCGTGTCTTTTGAGCTCAGCTTTTCCCATCACTGAGCAAAAGGCAGCCAGCATGCAGCCTTCAGTGGGGATCACCCATTGATGACCATAGCCAGAGAGGTGACATGTGCCCTTTCTTAGCTCAGATGGATGACCAGCCCTTGCTCTGGGCAGAGCTGTAGGGGGCTGGTGTTGGTTTTCCTACAGCTGGAGGGGGCAGCTCAAAACCCCACAGCAAGAACAGGCCATCTGTCGCTGCTGTGCAGATCTGCTGGGCTTGGGGATTCACCTTGCCTTGAAATGCTTCCACCTCCAGGAAACAGAAGAACCTCTGCATCAAGGAAAAATGCAGATTCCCACCAGAATCTGACATGTCCTCTGCCTCTGCACATCCCTCCTGGCTGCCAGAAGTGAGCAGGTCTGCAGCATAAAGCCTGGATGAAGAGAGAGGCAGGGCAGGGGCCTGTTGCTGCTCTAGGCAGGGTGATGGGAGGAGAGGGGGCTGCTGCTCTGTGCTGCAGTTGGGTGGCACTGGGAAGCGTTTTCCCTGAGCAGCTGCTGGTGTTTCTGAAGCAGCTCCTTGCTCTGCATGAGTAATGGGGCTGGCTGCACGCACACCATGCAGCTGCAGCTCAAAGGAGAATGTGGATGGCTGTGGGAGCTCCTGGGGAATCTGGCCCTAGAGTGGCTCTGCTCAGGCTGCAGGCTGTGCTGGCATTCAGCTCTCCTACAAACAGCAGCGTTTGGCTGTCAAAACCATCTCCATCCAGGGACTGAGCATCATGTGAATGAAATACCTTCTGCCCTGCCTGTCTCTGTCACCAGCAGAGAGTGAGCCTGGCACCTGATATATTTGACCAGCATGTCCGTGATGGGGATGCAGTGTCTGCTTGCATAAAGCTTGGGCAGATTTTCTTGATGTCTAAAGCTGCATAAAAGTAAGTGATTTATGCTCTGTGAGTGAAGGTTGCTACAGTGAGGCTGCTCAGGAAGTGGAAAATGGAAAAACTAATCACTTTGTTCCTGGCACTAATAATGAGTGTTGTTTCTCTGCAGGTATACAGGGCCTGACAGGTCAAGTGGTAGAAATGGTCTGGCTCACTTCTGGGCATCCAGTGATGTTTCTGCACATCCACTGATGTTGGGCAGTTGGGAGAAGATGCCAGGCAGCCCTGTCCAGGGTGTTTTCCCCACCTTGTGTATCTGATTTCAACAAATAACCGTGTGTGTTCACTGATGACCATTAAAATTCTCTAGCGAGGTCTACAGCAGCTGGTCACATCTTATTTTTTCTATCATTAAATCTTACCATCTCTGCTTTATAGGGAAAATGGTGGCTTATGAGCCTAAGTCAGATGTTTGTCTTTCTTCTGCTTTTGATTGATGACAGGTCTTGGTGCTGAGCCCCATTCTTCCCATGGTGATAAGACACTCACTCTTCCCTTGTGTTTGTCCCACTGGACCACATTTTGTCCCACTTCTCTTGGTTGACTGATGCAGCAGAACTGTTTTAGCAAGGCCAGCATATGCACCACTGCTAGAGTTAAGCCCCCTGAAGCTGCTTCCAGCATTCCTGGAGTATTAGAAATAAACTGCTGAGCTCAGTATTTGACTAACGAGCACAAGCATGTAGTGCAGTGGCAAGCAGAGCCAGGCAGGCAGAACACAGCACACCACACAAGCTGCCAGCAGACACAGAAAATGCACAAGCTTCACGGTCTCATTTTCTTCCTTTTTGCAAGGATGGGTCAGATCATTTGGGCTGATCCACAGAGCCCAGCTGTGGCTTCTGTGTGCTGTCAGCTCCAGAAAAACAGGGTAGGGAGCAGCAGTCCTATTGCCTGCAGCTTACTGGTGCCGTTTGACCTTGTCCTGCTTGACAGTGGTGAAAGTCGCTGGGCAAAAGAGGAGAGAGAGTTCCAGGCTTTATACTGAGCAGGACCACACTGAGGTGTGAATTCCTGCAGTCTTAGCAGCAGCTTTCCCTGGGCCCCCCTGCCCAGAGAGGACAAACATGCCCAGCAGTGTGGGCGCCTGCTCACAGGGACCTGGCTGGGAGGTGGGGCTGTGGCAGAGCAGCCAGCACAGCTGAAGCCCTTTGCATAAGGGGCTGTTTGTTTTGCTGAATTGTTAAGCCCCATTGACAATACACCCCCCCCCACTCTCTACACTCAAGGAACTGTGGTGGCCAGACACTGATCCTTTCTCTTATCTTCAGGCACTGAATTAGGGTTGTTCTTCACAGAGTCCCTCTGACTGGCTGTTGGGTTTTGCTCTCGCTCTGCAGGCGTACGAGTGGGCCTTGGAAGGGATGCGACACCTTGCCTGTATCAGCATGGAGGACTGCAGCTCCGCCGAGCACTGTGCAGATGTGATCAAGTCCCTTGAGAGTTACAAGAGGCAGCACCCGGACATCAGTGCTGCCCGCTTCCAGGAGATGAAGGAGCTGGCCTGTCGCCTGAAGAGTGACAAGGGGCTCAAGCAGTGGAAATTTGCATGGTCTAAATGCCAGGAAACCAAGCTGGTTTTTGAAAAGAAACTCGAAGCAGCCTTGAGAACAAGGAAGTCTCTGCTATCAGAGTGCAGCCCAGCTGTTGGGGAGCAGCCCCAGGCTGGCAGTGAGACTGGTACTCTGTCCCACCGGAGGCACTCTGAGGGGGCCACCTCCAGGTCCCACTGGGACAGGACTCAGAGCACATCTCATGGCTACAACAGAACCAACAGCTGTCTGGAGTGGACTAGGGAGAAAGCTCCCTCGCCCTCCCTGAGCTGCCCTGGTGATGTTGATGCTGGGGAAGTATTTGTCTGCCAAGCTGCTCTCAGCCCTGGTCCTCCCTCAAGCAGAATTTCTTTCACCAGCAGGGCTTGTAAGTCTCCAACGCTGCCTGAAGAAAAACCAAACCTGGAGAGCATTTTAGAAACCCCAGAGGTGAAGCAGTCTCCTACATCCACTCCAGTCCCTGGGAAGCTGCCTCCCAGGAAGGTCCTCCGGAAGGCTCAAAGCTTTGACCTGCCTTACGGTGAGAGCCTGTGGTCCAGCTGCCAGAGGAGCGAGCCGGCCAGATACGGCAACACCGGCGTCTTCATTAAGGGGCTGGAGGTGAGCAGCACTGAGCTGGTGGACAGGACGTTCGCTCTGCGGCAGCCAGCTGTGAGCAACTGGGCGGCAGACTGCCTGCTGGAGGGACAGAGGGGCTGCCTCTCCGGGTCAGAAGCCAAGAGCTGGGGCAGGTAAGTGTCTGGGACATTTGGTGTTCCCTTTCTCAGGGTGGTGAAAAGGCAGCCAGCAGAGATTAGAGGAGCTCTGTAGTGCTGGTTACTCTGGCACTGGTTACAGGACAGATGGAGATGTAGCTCCAGCTTGCCTGCATTTGTGTATGTGATGCTGAGCAAGCCCACAGGGATGTCCCCACATAATCTGGCGCCTTTCTTGGCGGGGCGACATAGAAATGGGATTTGTGGCTCTTCCCTCACAGTGTGATTCCTCTAGGACGGGAAACTTCAGTTCCCAGACAGGAGAGGGAGTCTCTGAACATTGCTTCCATTAGAGGATGAGGGATTACAGAAACAGTATTCAGTGACCTAACAAAGCCAGGAGTACAGGTGCAGTGGGAGAGCAGAAGCTCAGGGCATTGTCCCCCACACTTTTGGGAGTGCTGTACCCAGACTGGTAGGGAGGCACATCCAGCACCTTGTGACAGCAGCTTCACAGGTGAGGAGGTGTTTGTATTTGTGCTTTGGGGCTGAAATCTCTGGGTGTCCAACAGCATTTGTGTTGTTTTCCTTCTCTATCCTTGAGAATCTCAACTTTGTTGTCATACTGCAATGTGTGCCTATGCTTTGGAGTGCCCAGGGATATGAGCTGTTCTTGACAAAGGGTCTCCAGGCAGGTCTTTCAGTTACTCTCCCTGGAAAAAAAATAAAATGTAAGTAAAAAATTAATGGCAGAGATGATAAAAGAGTGCTGGATGCTGGGGCACCATGGTTACTACTCGTGAGTGAAATGGCTGGGGATAGTGAAGTCTTCCAGAAGGGGGCTCCGATATCCCTGGGATACCCAGAAAAGCTCATGGCAGGGAATGTGCCCCAGCAGATAGCAGAGTGACCACTTTGCTTCTCAAGGGAGCAGTGCAGCAGGCCTCCCGTGTCCGTGGGTGCTGAGACAGTCCCACTTCTCTGTTCTCTGGACAACCAGAGGAGTTCACTTGAGGGAAGGCTGAAATGCAGGGGAGGAAGGGACACATTGGAGTGGTTATGTTTGGTGCTACACTGCCTCACAGTGGAAACTTCGAGTACCTAAGAGGCATCCTTTGAGATATGTGAGAGCAACCCATGCTAGGAACTGCTGTTCACTGATGAGGTATTAGGGCACTTAAGTTTTACTCTCTCACTTTTACTAGGACAAGCCCAACAGCACCTAGTTCTAGAGCTACTGTTCTCCCAGGGTTAAAATTGCTTCCCACAGTCTCTAGTCATCAGACGGAGTCCTCAAGAAGTTACTGTGACTTCTGCTGTCACTGTTGTTTCAGGAGAGCAGCCACCTGCAGAGCAGCCCCTTGTGTCCAGAGCACAGGGGCTGGGTGGGCCCAGGGGTGTGTGTCCTGCTGAGTTTGGGTCAGCATCACAGCCAGCCTTCAATTCTGTGATTCCTGAATCCTTAGAATCACAGAATATCCCAAGCTGAAAGGGAGACCCAAAAGGATAATTGAGTCAACTTCTGACTGCATTGGACCACCCCAAGAATCACACCGTGTGCTAGAGAGCCTTGTCCAAATGCTTCTTGAGCTCTGACAGGCTTGGTGTCATGACCACTTCCCTGGGGAGCCTGTTCCAGTGCCTTACCACCCTCTCTGTGGGTGAAGGACCTTTTCCTAATAGCCTCAGCCTAAACCTCCCCTGACACAGCTTCATGCTGTTCCCTTGAGTCCTGTCAGCACTCACGGTCAGAGCTTTCACAGACAGTTGTGTATCTGAGCTCGGACTGTGCCAAGGATCATCTCATTTCCATGTTGGGTGTCAGAGAGCTCTTCTGTAGCAATAGTCCAGTGCTTTGCAGGCACTCTGCAGCCTGGGTCCCTTCAAGGCTGGGTGTCTCCTGTTGCAGCAAACTGCGGCACATCATCGATGAGATGGTAACCACGGAGCAGGAATACGTGCGGTCACTGCGCTACATCATCAACAGCTACTTCCCTGAGATGGAGCGCCTCGACCTCCCCCAGGACCTGCGTGGGAAGCGCAGTGTCATTTTTGGAAACCTGGAGAAACTCTATGACTTCCACAGCCAATACTTCCTTCGAGAGCTTGAGAGCTGCTGCAACCACCCACTGAGGGTCAGCCACTGCTTCCTGCGACACGTAAGGCATCAGCACCTTGCCCCCGGGGTCGGGCTCTTCCAGGCATGAGCTTGTTTTCTCTGCCTTTCCTATTGTGCTTTGCTACCAAGAGACACTGCCAGGGAAACAAAATGTCTGCTCCTTAAAGCCCATCTGTTTCTCCAGGGATGTCCCTTACCTGTTTTCTGTCTGTGGTGTCCGAGGTAATGACTAGAGTGAGCAGAGAGGTGCAGACAACTCTGGGAGAAGAGGGCTGCTGGGCAGAAGCACAGGGACACAGGTCTTGAGATCATCTGCCCCATGCATTTTGCTGCTTCATGGTGTACCAGGTACCAGGTGACTATTGGGGTAAGGAAGAGGCTAGGGATAGCAGAACAATGAATCAAGAAGTCCTAGCTACTCTGGGAGTAGGAAGACAAGAACATTCCCTGGCTCTTAGTGAGCTTGAAACAAAGTTATTCCTGATATTGGAGGAGGCTCTGGTGCAGCCTAGGAGAGGCAGAAGTACTAGAGTAACCTGCCAGGGTCGTGGCTGTCACCGTATCCTGGGTGCATGGGTCTCACTCGAGGATGGATCTCTTTGCAGAAAGACCAGTTTGGAATGTATGCGCTGTATAGCAAGAACAAGCCGAAGTCAGACTCGCTGCTGGCCAGCCATGGGAATACCTTCTTCAAGGTGAGTTCCACTGCCTGTGTGAGGATTGCTCAGTGTGTTTGGTCACTGATCTGTTTAAGCAAGGCCAACTTACCTGCCTGAGGCAGGCTCAGTGTCTTCTGCTTCCCTGGCACAACTCTGCACAGTATGGAAGGGACAGGGCAGAGGTGCAGTGAGGGCTTGAAAAAGGAGCCCAGCACATAGCAGCATTGGTCCTATGGCCTTGCATTTCCCCAAGAGTACTCATTTTCCCTGAGTATCCCAGTCAAGAGGTGTCAGTGCTTGCCTGGGGGCACAGGGTTCTCCTTGGGGAGGCTGCTGCCTTCACTCTGCTGCATTTCTCAGTTCAAGCAGGTGCAGCTGGGGGATAAGATGGATCTGGCCTCCTACCTGCTGAAGCCCATCCAGCGGATGAGCAAATATGCCCTGCTCCTGAAGGACCTGATCAAGGAGTGCAGCGAGGCACAAGAGCAGGAGCTGGTCTACCTCCGTGCTGCTGAGGAGATGGTGAAGTTTCAGCTCCGGCATGGAAATGACCTGCTGGCCATGGATGCCATCCGTGACTGTGATGTACGTTCAAGAGTCTTCCCCTTTCCAGGGCAACAGAACCACACTTATTCCCCTTCTCTAGACTTGGGGTCTTTGGATTGTACGGTGAGCCTCCCCTCAGGTTCCCCCAGTGATCAGAGTGCTGTCTGCCAGCGCAGCATAGCAGGACTGCTGAGGCATGGGGCACGGGAGCAGTGGGGCCTGGAGGTTTCCTTGATTTCCTAGGGCAGACAGCCTCGGTGCTGCTACCTGAGCTTGGTGAGCTGCTTGTAGTAAACATGCTTCCAGATGCTTACCAGTGATGGGAGGCATCCTGGAAGCCCTTGCAGATGGCGTCCTGCAGGCTGCTTTGGACCTTCCATCTCTTGAGCTGTCAAAAGGGTCAGGCAGATTCCAAGAAGGAATTCAAACTGATGCCAATGCCAAGGGTAGGGCAAAATCAACTAAGTGGTACTTGGAGAGGCATGCAAAGTGCAGCACTGGAGAAGGAGAAACCCCAGGCCTCAGGGTGGAGTAGGATCAGTCTTGGTCAGGAAGAACTGAGGAGCTGGTCTTCTGACCCAGATGAGCTCCTCGCAGTGGATGGAACTCATTTCCTCCCCATGAGAAAGCTCTGGCTGCTGCCTGCAGTTGCCATTCCAGAGGTTTGTCACAGATCTGCACAGGGTGACAGAAGAGGGTCATCTGTGGGTTACACTTAGGAGAAAGGTTCAGCTCTCCTCTGAGCTTGGAGGCAGTTGTTTCAGCCTGATGTGGTCCCCAGCAATGCCATGCAGCCCGACTTCTTTGAGAGCCCTCTTAAGATGTCAGGTAGCTGAGACTTCTTCACCACCTGGGCTACAGCCATATGGGACCATGTTCTCCAAGTCCAGGTCTAGGGCTGCCTGGGTCATGCTGGTGGAGTCTTACAAGGATGTCCTCTCGTGTCCAGGTAAACCTGAAGGAGCAGGGGCAGCTGGTGCGGCAGGACGAGTTCACCATCTGGCTGGGCCGCAGGAAGTGCCAGCGACACGTCTTCCTCTTTGAGGACCTCATCCTCTTCAGCAAGCCCAAGAGGATTGAGGGTGGCTTTGATGTGTATATCTACAAGCGCTCCTTCAAGGTAAGGGCAGCCCTGCAGCTCCCTCTTGTGTGGGAGGTGTCCATGGCTGGTTTCCCCATGGCACATGCCTCTGAAATGGGAAGCAGGAGCACCTTCAGGAGAAGAGCTGCACCCACCACTTCTAAGCCTCCTCCAAACCATGCAGTGAAGCCAGAAGGGGATATTTCACTCAGTAATGCCTAGGCCCTCTGTGCTGTGGGATCTGGGGCCAGAATTTTCTGAGAGTCATGGGGTATGGGGGAAAGGCAGTGTGTACATGGAAGGGAAGTGGTGGTAATTCTGGATGGAGCTCTAGAAACTGCTTGAGCTGTCTGTGCTCAGCCGTGTCCAGGACATACCTGCTGCTTTCCAGACTCTCAGGCTCTTTCCTCCTAGGTCTGCCAAGCTAGGGATAGCTCTAGCACAAGGTTCAAGCAGCTCACTCCTTTTGCTGCTGCTGCAGTCTGGTTTATGCTTTGCTTTTCCTCTTCCTCACAGACTGCAGACATTGGTCTGACGGAGAACTGTGGGGACAGCGGCCTGCGCTTTGAGATCTGGTTCCGAAGACGGAAGTCCAGTGACACCTACATCCTCCAGGCCAGCTCAGCTGAGACTAAGCAGGCCTGGACCAGGGACATTACCAATATCCTGTGGCAGCAGGCAGCCCGCAATAAAGGTGTGATTCCTTCCTGGAATTCCTTCTGTGCCGCAAAAGGTGCGGGAGCCCTGTTCAGCTCATGCTGTCCTGAGTAGGTTTGGATCCTGTTTCCAGGCAGCTCTGTGCAGCAAGCAGCTGTGTGCCAGCATGCAGCCTCAGGAGCATGTGCTGGGCTTGGCTGGGCATGTCCCTTCCCTGCCCCTCATCCCCAGAGAACTCCACTGGTCCAAGCTCTGTATGACTGTAGACACCCACCTGTTCTCCATGAACAGAAGATCCACACTCAGGGTTCCCTGTCCTGTGAGCACAGGCTGTGGACCTGAAAGACTTGCTGGTCTCCCCAGTGATCTGGCCCACTACTGGAGCTCACTACTGAATCATGCTGACCAAGTCCCTCCTGTCCCCCACAGGCTTCCCGCTTGGCAGCACTCTAGTAGGTGGCATGGCACTGAGCTACTTGGCTGGAGTAGGGCATGATTGCTTGTTCCTGGAGGCTCCACAGCGCTGGGGAGGGCAGCAAGGGGAGAAGAGATCCAATCTCAGCAGTTCAGAAACAGCCCAGCCCAGGAGTGCTCTAACCTGTGGCTGAATAATGCCTGTGGGGAGTGTTGGGTTGGGTCAGCCTCACAATGTGGCTGTGGGTCTCTTCCTCCCCAGAAATCCGTATGCAGGAGATGGTCTCCATGGGTGTGGGTAACAAGCCATTCCTGGATATCAAACCCAGTGAGGCAGCTATTAATGACCGTGCTATCGACTACATCATGAAAGGCAGAGGTAGGTGCCAGCTGTGCCTTCCCCCTTGATCCATGTGATTGAGGCAGGACTGGTTCTCAGGGGGTTTTTTGTATGTTTTCTGTCAGGTGCCAGGACCAGAGCCTCAATTGCAGTGTCTCTGTTTGACCATTCCAACCCCTTCAAGAGGACACAGACGCAGCTCTCCACCAGCAGCACCCCCACTGCCTATTCCCCTTCCTCCTCCTCCTCCCTGCTGGGGCCCCTCAACCTCCACATGTACCTGGACCAGGCTCTGCTGCCAGGGGTCCTGGCCCCCAGACGCCCCTTGGACATCGGCACTTGCATCGAGGAAGATGAGCTGGAGCACGAGACGAGCAGCCAGCCCTCAATGAGTACGTATGGCCCTGCTGCTCTGCAGCCCCTGGGATGTGTGGGCTCATCCCTGCACCTTGTTCTGTGCTGTGTGGTCAGACCAGGCTTGCTGGGGTCATGGCAGTCCCTGTCTCCTACCCAGACCAGGGCATGAGGGCCCTGCCCTTCTATGCCAGCTCTGTCTCAGATTCCATGAAGGGAGTTAGCTCAAATACAGGGCTTATAAAGTACCTGCTGAGCTGCAGCCCTATCCATGGCAGGCTTGGTGCTGTGTACTGATGCTGCTGTGGTCTTGGGGACATGTGTCCCTGCTCCTCTGGTATGAAGAGCTCTGTCCCTTACCCTCACCAGCCTGCACCCGTGACCCTTTGCCTTCCCTTGTGTGAACTTCATTGGCCAGCTCATACCAGTCACCAGCATCATTATAACTCTACTTCCTTGTGTTGATTTCTTGTCTGTGGCCTTAAAGAGGCCCAGACAGAAGTGTGGGTGATCTGTGGGTTTGTGTGGCCAGTGCCTTTGCAGACAGGTACATTATCAAGTGTATGTGGCATGGGTTATATGCAGCCCAAAGTTGTGGTTATGAGTGACCTTCCTCTCTTTCCCCAGCAACAGAGAGCTCAGAGTCGTCGCACTGCATGTCAGCCACTGGCTCCAGCGGCTCCGACAGTGGCTGTGTCTCCAACGTCCCACAAGAAAGCTTCTGTGAAGACATGGGCTCGCCCCCTTACATGCCCGTAGGCCCACAGCACAGCTCTGCCATGGAGGGCAGACCCAGGTTCACAAACAGCCAGTACATTTCTGCAGTAAGTGCAAGCAGCCAAAACACTCTCTTCACTTTGCCTGCTCCTGTAACTGCCTCCCCAGTTCAAGCCGCTGCCTCTCACAGGGGGACCGAAGATGCTGCTTTTGGGCTTGGGGTGACTGTGGGGAAGTGACGTTTCCTCTTGCAGAGACCCTCATCCTCTGGGGTGGGCAAGAGCCCTCTGGTGCAGGAGCCACCCCTGCGGTGGCCAGGACCCCTGAGGAGATGAGCTGGAAAGGACCTGCAGTGCTGGAGGCTGCACAAGGAAGAGATGTTGCACAAAGAGGAGCTATAATGCTGCCGTGGGCTGGGGTACATATATAACCTCCTGGAATGGCTGGAGCTCTGCTGCACATGTTGCCAAGCTCCTTTCTTGGGAGGTTTGGGCCTTTTTTGGGGAATGATGAGAGGGAGTAGTGGGAGCCTGTTGCTCTGAAATGTCAGTGTGTTCCTGAGAGTTCTCAGCTGCTTCCCTTCCCACTAGATCGTGTCCTGATGCTGTTGTCCTCTAACCCCGTACTAACACTGGCTTCTCTCTTCTGCAGAAAGCAGGCCAGGTCACCATAAGTCCCTCAAGAATAGTGTGAGCCCCTCGGCCCCGCCTCAGGAAGTGGAGTTGTTGTAAGTAGCCCCTGCAGGGGATTTTCCAGCAGTTCTGAGTGCTGGTCAGGTGTGTCAGTAGCTCCGAGTCAGGGGAACCTCACCCTCAGTTCCTCTGTGAGTTTTCCCCATGCATTCCTGACTGGTCTCTGAGGCTCTGATTTATCTGGTTACAGAGGAGCAGCTCCCATGGAGCCACACTCTGAACAGCTGGTCTGATGCTTTCTGTCTTGCAGAAGCAAAACAAACAAAATCACGTTCAGGTAGTAAAGGCTTGATCACCTCCTGAGTGTTCAGATGAGCTGCTTTCCTCTGAATGCTGCCCACCTGTCTAACCACTAATCTATTTCTTGTGGCTGTTTGCCAAAATCCTGCTCTTAGTCCCTCTGAACTGTCCTGGGGAATCACAGTATTTTCCCCAAGGTAGATTTATCCCACAGTTTCCTTTGAACCTCCAAAGGAAATGGTACTTTACCAGGCAAAGGAGCCTGCTAGGTTATGGTCAGGATGTCCTGAGGGAGCTGCCAGATGTTGCTTCAGTATTTGGTGATTTTGGGAGGATGCCTTATCTGTGAGCAAGTCACTGTTGATCCAAGGAGGGTGAACCCTGAGAGGATTTGCAGCCAAGCAGGGCTCCTGCTTGTGGCTGGCAGCCCTTGGTGTCACGTCAAGACCCACTCAAACCAGCCTGCTCTTGTCCCAGCCTTTTCCTCTCTGTCCTTAGGGCTGAGCCTCCCTTTTCACAGGGAGCAGAGGGGTACAAGCATGAGAGAGGCAGAATTAGGGCTTGAATGGTCAAGGCACAGGGTGGTGAACGGCTCGTAGGTTTGGCACTGTGGGGTGTGACATCATGCAAAGCCCATGGCTCGTGACCTGCAGGAGCAGGAGTTCAGAACCAGCTGTACAGAACCAGCCAAGGTTCAGATTTAAGATCTGAGCCCCTTCTGGAGGGTCACAGATGAGACTTTTGAAGTGGCCACAGAAGCAGTAGGGACAGCAGCACATAGCCTTTGGGCGACTCCTGAGGCACAGAGGGAAGAGCTGTGCTTCTCCAGTAAGGCTCTTCCACTAAAATATTCTTTCCCCACCAAAATTTACCTCTGACAAACAATGGATTTCAAGTGTTTGTGAAGTCACTGCTGGCCAGGACAGAGGGCCCTGTGGGATCCTGCCACATCACGGGAGTGCAGCTGGTCTAACCCATTGCACGGTGCTGTGTTCCAGGTTTGATTGCCATTTCAAACTCACTGAAGACCCCAGGCCTCTGACCAGCAGAAGGACACAGTCTCCATCCGTGAAGATATTTTTTGCCCGTTATCAGGCTTTTTCAAACAGCCCAAAACCTGACCTCTGCCTGAGGCGAAGTCCCAGGAAGGCTTCTGTCAACTAAATGTAATAGCTTTGGTGTTGGATGGGACCTTGGGCATTTAGAACTTATTAGCCCTATATTTATAAGTAGCATAGCAGTTTGGGAAAAAAAAAGTATTATTTTTAAAGCTATGAGTTGTACAGATTTTTATTACAAGTGACTCTGTTACTATTTGTTGTGTAAGCTGCACATTTTATAAAGTTTTTGGAAGGACATGAAGAGAAATTGAGGTATTTAAAAAAAGTAGTCTAACTTTCTGTTTCAGGGTTATAGTGGCCTGAAGCTCAAGATTTAATGTCCTTCCTTATGTTCTAAATATGTCTATCGTAGCAATAATTTATTTCCTTGGCTTAATACTTTCATCCTAATAAAAGCAATTTCATTGTTACGAATTGTTTCTTCAGATGGTTCTTCCAGTGCCTTGGTGCTGAGCTCATCTCTCTCATAACCATCTGTCAGCTTTGCCACTCTGCTGTGCCACCTCTGCTCTGAGTGCCAGCTCCACCTGTAAATCCTCAGTGCATTCACCAGAGAAGGGGGAGATGCCCAGGCAGAGACTCCCCTGATGCCAGTGGGGAGGCTGACCCAGAGAGGGGCTTTGGAGCAGCCAGCAGTAGGGGTGAGGAAGAGGGAGCTGTCTGGTGGAGCTCCGGAGGCACCAAAGTTCCTGGCTCTAATTTTAGCCACTCGCCCCCTGTAGCTGCTGTCCCAGTGCAAGTTTCTCTCTCGCCCTGCTGGCTCCGGTTTCAGTGGCTTAGTTCAGGCTCCATTGTGCTTTGTCCTGGCTGTGCCCCTGGTTTTGGACTGACAGGGACTGGCTCCTTGCTTCATCTCTGACTCAGCCCCTCTTCTGGTACTTCAGTCCCACTGTTGTGGCTTGTTTGAGGAGCTTTGGTTGTGCTGGCATTCGAGACCAACAGGTTTTGAGTGTAATGGGTTGATCATAATGCTGAACCTTAAGTGCACGTTGTTTGAAGTAACAGCATAACTGGAGGACAAACAAACCCTGTGTTCCAAGGTGGCTTTTTCATGAGGAACTTCCAAGGTTACTGTGTGGCTGTGACACCCTCCCTCTGTTCTCGGACAAAATGAAAATTAGCATTTCTGCAAACAGTGGTTACTTGGCTGCCAAGCTCCTGTTTACTCCTGGTTTATGCAGAGCTGTAAATCAGGCTCCTGCAGGTGTGAGAGAAGTGCTACATTTGGCCTGAGGAAGAAGATGGAGTAGTAATTTATATAACTGCAGTTTTTTCCCCTTGGCAGACTGGGGTGTTACATCCCACAGCCACCCTGGAGACAGTGTTCCTTAAAGTTTGGAAATTCCTGTACTGTATGTAAAACACTTGTTTATTTTTAATAAGCTGGATGTTTTTAAACCTTGTTCTTTTTTCAGACAGCAAAGAAAATACGTTTGACACCTTTGTACAAAATTGCGTGGGAAACAGTTATACAGGGAATATTTTACAAGTTGCTATTTTGAGATAATTGCTGGGTTAGTGCAAGGTTTCTGGACTGTCAAGACAGCAATAGCTCATGTCACAAGAGGGAGAGGAGTTACTAATGCAACAAGAGGAACATGAAACGTCTGGAATTTCTCAGTTTCAAAGGTTTCTAAATTGCTGGAAAAACCTTTAGCATTGTTTACCTGACACTCTTTTTTCAGGGTTTGATTGATTTGTCTAATAAAGGTTATTTTCTTTATATGAATCTTACTTGCATTGTGTCATGATTGCAGCATGGGAGCCTGGGCTGCAGGAGGAGACAGGGAGCACTGAGAGGAGCAGTTGTCCCTGGGGTGTCTAAATACCCCCTCAGAGTACTGGGGACTGGTTGAAGTAACATTTCTCTGACTAAACCTAACCCAGCAGGTTACTGGGGTGAGGCTGATGGTGCCTTTTCATTTTAAACACTGAAAAGTACACAAACAAATTTTTCCCCCTATTCCATATCTGGCACCCAAACAATGAGAAAAAAATATTTGGTTTTATTGGCATAAGTAGAAATCTTTCCACTGCCAACCTTGACTCCCACAGAGTGAGCTGCATGTCGGGAATCCCAGATTAGACAATGCATTTTTGAGAGGGTGCAACCAAAATAAATGAGCTCCTAAACCACAGGTGTTTCCCTGAAATCTTTGTCAGAATTGGAATTTTCAATACTTCTTCCAGCCTTTCTACAAGAAGTGACATTCTCTGTCTCTTCTTTCTTTTTTTCTCCCCATTTAACTAACCGGGGATAGATAAAGTCTGATACTGAAAAGCAGGAATCCTACTCTGCTCAGGACACACCTCACATGGAAAATTCGGTGGCATTTTCCACAGGGAATCCCCTGAAGAGGGTAGATGGGTTCCATGAACTGTTTGGAAATCCACCCTTCCCAGGAGCACCATTATCTCTGCTAGTGATGGCCATTGTGCTTGGCCCTACCCAGTTCATACTCCCAACAATTCCCAGTCATAGCTTGGCCATTCAGGTTTTAGAATTGTAAAATCCTGGAATGGGTTGGAAGAAACCTTAAAGGCCATGTCATTCAAGCCCTCTGCCGTGGGCAGTGCCACCTTCCACTAGAGCAGGTCACTCCCAGCCCTGCCCAGCCCAGCCTTGGACACTTGCAGGAATGGGGAGTGCAAGAATTCTGATTTGGTGGAATGTGGAATATTCACATGACACTGGTGTTTTAAGGCATCTCGACTTGTGATGATGGGTAAATTTTATGGACCCAGCAGATTGCTGTGCCTGTGAAGGGAGGGTGCCCTCTCTGTAAGCTCCCTGACTTCTGACCATGCAGTTTTGGAAAGCGTTTTTCAGCCTTAGAGCAGGGACACCAGCAGAGGGGGCAGATGGAGTGTTTTTCACCTGACCATGCAGTTTTGGAAAGCATTTTTCAGCCTTAGAGCAGGGACACCAGCAGAGGGGGCAGATGGAGTGTTTTTCAGCTGGACTAATCTGACTTTGCTGATCTACCCTAAAAAAAACACCCACAAAAATCTGAAAAGATTTGCAGTTTTCCTTTTTGTTTAAGATGTGCAGACATTGCACAAATCCGTGATCACGGACTGGTTTGGGTTGGAAAGGGCTTTAAAAATCCCCTTGTTCCAGCCCCCTGCCGTGGACAGAGACACCTTACAATGGATCAGGTGCTCCAAGCCCGGTCCAGCCTGGCCTTGGACACTTCCAGGGATGGGGAATGCAGGAGCTGTAGCCCAGTGGGGTGTGGTCCTGGCCATAGCTCAACAGGGCCACGTAAATGTCACTGAGTTTGTTAATGCAGTGACAGATTACTGAGTTTTGCTGCTCTTCCTCTCCCAGCTTTGGAGATGGAACATCTTTAAACACTGCCTAAAAAAAAAAAAAAAAAGATGGTGGTAAATGCAAAATGTTAATATTTGATGTTAGAAATATCAAGAAGCATAACGTTTTTGATACAATTCCATTAAAAAAATAAATTGGAAATCAGAAGAAAGAGTTTAGATAAAGCTTGGAAGAAATGCAGATATTAATGTTTGAAAATAGACTTTTCATCCAGCCAGGATGTACAGCCTCACCCTTCACTGGCACAAGACAAAATTACACTTCAATTAAAATAAAAAATACTTATGGCTGTATAGCAAATTAAATCTTTGTTAGAGATACCCATTCAGTATTTTCATTTATGCAGATACAGAGTGTAGGGGAATAGGAAGAACTGTCACTTCCCTGTTGCACATGACAGTAAATTCAGTGGTGAATTTACCATAATAAATTAATTGGAATGAATTTATTTTCAGGCCAACTGAAACTCCTCACGTAGCAGTAGAAAGGGCACTGCCACCTTTTCCAGATTAAAACATTTGTATTCAATAAGATGGGGAGGTATAAAATTGTCCTCAAACACAGCAGCTGCTTTCTTTAACTGCAGTTAGGTAAAAACAAAACCATTAAATGAGCTCTTAGGGAAAGGTCAAGCATGAAATTTGGAGCAGTTTCTTTGCTCACCAAGCAGGGCAGATGGGTTGAAAGTGAAATTTATTTGGATACCTATCAGGAGCATTGATAACACAAACTCTGTGATGTTCTCCTGCAAACAATATTATCTAAGAATGAAAAAAAGTATAGAAAAACAAGCATAGAAAATCCCACTTGGCCTGCAAGAAAGGCTTCAGCTGCAGAATTAATGCTTATAGGATAAATTCAATAGAGCTGAGAAAAATGAAGGTGTCCAAACACAAAACTGTATCAGTCAATGAATAATTTATGATTATCAGCCTTACCCTGTGCAGGAGCTGCTTTCCACAGCAGAGATTCAGGAGACAGAGTGACTTTACTTTTGGGAATTGAGAAATACCATTCACTGACATTAAAATGAATTAACTCTTCTTCTGCAGATCCCACAACTCTCTCTGGTTCTTCCACACAGAAAACACTGAGGAGCAAGAACAAATCTGTAAATCTTAGAACAGCCTGATGTCTGGAAGGTGTTTAGGCTATTTCTCATACAAATGGCCGCAGAAAAGGGAGTCAAAAGCGTGTCTGGAAAAGGTTGGTGAGGGGGAGGGAAACCCTCTGTAAATGGATGCAAGAATTAAAATCAGCAGCTTCCAGAGACAGCCTGTAGCTCCAGACTGCAGTGATAATCAAAGATGTTGTGGGGAACAGGACTTTTTCATAGATAATCACATCATCTTCTTATTGCTGATACTGTTCAAGCAAGAAAGATGAAAAATTTTAAGAAAAACAGCTGGATAGTAAAGTCTTGATATTTCTGAGGTTCAATCCAATTTTAGGGGACAGTGGGAAGAAAGACAGGACCACCAAAACACCCTCATGACACCATTGCTCCAAGGAAAGCACTCCCAGACATTCCTGAGGGAATTCAGGCTGCTCAGGCTGCTGTTTGATGGGCAGCAGTGCCCAGCCAGCAGCTGCCCCTGCACAAAGGGGTCTCAGCCCTGCTCCCAGCCAGGGATGTGCCTTCATCTTCATCCCCAGGAAGGAGCAGGGCTGCAATTTATTTAAAAGCCAATTAATACAATGCTAATGTGACAGATCTCTTTAATTAGATGCTCTTTGTGTCATTTCTTAGAACAGGGAACAGGTGAGAAGCAAGACCCAAATAATAAAAAAAAACCCAAGGAAACTTGGAATATGGCAGCGAATAAATTAACTAATCCATTTGATCATGTGGGATTTTTAGTTAAAAAAAACTAAAGAGGGCTGTAGACAAAGATATAGGAGTGCTCATCAATACTTCATTAATATTTTATTAGTATACATTAATATTTTATTATTTACATATTTAAACTATTTTTCAGAATAATATTTTTTTAATTCCTCTGGAGATAAAGTCAGCATTAAAAAAAGAGCATCAGTATGAATACATGCAAACTCCATATCTTAATATCTATATTGTTTAATTTCTATATTTTATTTTTAAAATATCTGTATTTTATCTTTGTTAATAATTTATACTTTAAATATTAGTATCTAAATAAATCTGTGCACTAACAACTGCAATTCTGGGGCAGTGTCACAAGAAATGATGTTGCATTGTCCAAAGACAGGCCAAACCCACAGCAATGACACGAACAGGAGGGTGCTGAGCTCTTCCCTCCTCTGCTCCATGCCCCCCTGTTCCTGACATGCACAGGGCAGGGATAACACTGCAGATGCTGCAGGGAAATGAAGCAAAAATCTGTTTCCAATTAGGTCTCAAAAAAAAAAAATAAAAAAAAAAATCCATAGAAACTTTTCTGTTTAGAATTGTTTCCTGACATCACCTGAGCCTCCTGCCAAAAGTCCAGATTATCTTGGTGTGTTCCAGACTTTACTGCTTGTTTAAGTTATTTTTTTCGCACACCTATGCAGGAAGGCTTGGAAAAAGCTGGTTTTTTTTCTTTAGAAGTGTGTTTGAGACAAGTACTTCAAAGTGACAGAAGGGTTTGCTTAAACTCTCAGCACGTTTCGTTCACGGACATCCATCGCTTCCGAGGGCTCAGCAGCACGGCTGGAAAGGCTCCCAGGGCTTACCAGACGTGGGGAAAACTCTACAGAAGTGATTCATTTCTTGTAACATTTATGACCCTTGTGATTTTGGGGATTTGGGGTTTGTTTTCTTATGTCTTGTCTCATCCCAAAAGGATTATCTGATTCGGTAGCTGGATGAAAGGCTTTGGGGGAAGCGTGGCAGCTTCCACCCTACAGGAGATGGATCAGGCTGCTGCTCCCAGCCACTGCATCTCCAGGAATCAAACACCCACAGAGTAAAGAGAAATGGAAGGAGCCTGCAGAGCCTCCTGAGCATTGAGTAAATGGGGCTGATGTGCTTTACAAGACTCATGAGAACTGATACAGAGCAACCACACACGTGTGCTGCCAGGGCCAGATGTGCACTATTGCCATTTTCCAGGAGCTTGGAGTCATGGTACAGCAAGAATGGAGTTACTCTAAGGAAGCCAGAGCATCACAGGGTGGATACCTGGGCTGCTGAAGGACCAAAATAAACTTTTTTACAAACAGAATGTGCAGCCTCTCACAGGCAGCTCTGGAGATTTTCTGCTGTGTGTAACCTCCAGCTGCTGGATCCCCTTTGTCCCTCAGAGCAGCCCAGCCTGGTAGAAAGGTGCTCAGAAAGCAACACCTGCAAACTCCCCCACCCTTCTCCCTGTGCTCCCTTCTGATGAGTTATTTTGGGGAAATGTCTGAGGTGCCAGGTGTTATTTCCAGGACTGGAAGTGAAACAATGGACTGAACTCCAGGAGCCCGGGGCTGTTGTGCAGGACAGGCAGAGGTGTGGGCTGGGCACAGCTCACCTGTCACAGCAGGACGTGGTGCCTTGTCCCAGCAGAATTCCTCCAGCTGTGTGTGCTTCTCGTAATGCCCCCCACTGCTGGCAAATGGATGGATTTGGGCACAGCAGAGAGCTATTTTGGGGACATTAACACACATTATACCCTTAATGAGGCTGGAACTGGTCACAGACTTCTAAGCCAAGTCATGAAAATGCCAGTTCAGTGAGCAGCACATCAGGAATAGTCTGTGCCTGATGAAACCTTTTCTTTTTTATAAAAATACCTTAGGTCAAAACAGAGAGGAGACTTGGTTGCCTTTTGCATTCACAGATGTGGTTGCTCCACTGATGTGCTTCCAGCTGTCTTAGCACGTGCTATTGATCTCTTGGAACAGCTTCTATCTGTTATTAAGGACTGTCAGCAATCTCTGCATGAAATATTAAAATGAATCTTGGCTGAAGGTGCAGGCTGTCAAACACAGAGCTCTGGGCTACAAGCTTAGAGCTCCAAGTACAAATGTTTTAAAATGTGATTTTGAATAAATGGAAATCAGCCTGGAGAAGAGAGGAGGAGACCTCAGAGCACCTTCCAGTCCCTAAAGGGGCTCCAAAAGAGCTGGAGGGAGACTTTGGACAAAGGCATGGAGTGCCAGGACATGGGGGAATGGCTTCACACTGACAGAGGGCAGGATTAGATTGGATATTGGGAAGAAATTCTTCCCTGGGAGGGTGGACAGGCCCTGGCACAGGGTGCCCAGAGCAGCTGTGGCCGCCCCTGGATCCCTGGAAGTGGTCAAGGCCAGGCTGGACAGTGGAAAGTGTCCCTGCCCATGGCAGGGGGTTGGAAATAGAGGATCTTTAAGATCCTTTCTAGTCCCAAATATTCTATAGTTCCATGATGAAATCAGTGTATCAGTTTTGGAAAAATATCCTTGCAGCAGGTGCCCTCTCCCAAATGCCTGCTTATCATTTAATCTCTTTTCTGCAACAATCTTGCCCCGAGTCTTTACTACCCACAAACCATCCTGCTGCAGCAGCTGACTAAAGAGAGCAGCCACACTGTTCCCAAAACCCCTCTTCCAGCTGAGAAATGCAGCAGTCATGAGAAATGCACCCTCATCCCCACTGGGAAGATGTGCATCACACACCTGTGAAGCTGTGCACACAGCTCTGGGTCATCCTGGAGGTCAGAGCAATTGTACAGTTGTGCTCTGTACAGGGAACAAACAGACATTAAATATGCACCATGTCCAGTTTCACCTTGCATGGTGTCTCCTGTTGTATTTAAATCTGGTGAACCCAATCCTTGCCTTGTGTTTTCTTTCTCTGCATCTTCCTGCTTCCATCTCCCGCTGCGTTCCCACAACTCTGCTGCAGTTATTACATTAACAAAGTGCAGGGATGAGTCCTGGATAATAACATTTTATCTGGAACCACGCCATGCTGGGAAGATGGTAATTTAGTTAATTGAATTCCATCTAAGAGGGTACTGAATCAATATTCCAGCTCAGTGCTGGAGCACGTGGCTGGCAGTGAAGCACTGCCTGGAGCACGCGTGGTCACAGCAATCTCAGGGCACTGACAGGAGCAGCTTGAATTCAAGTGTTGGGTTTAGGTGACAGAAGCTGCACTCTGAATCTTGTCTGAACACGATTTACAGCCTTGTCTGTGTGTTTTGGAAACGTTGTCCATCAGGCTAGCAGTGAAATGGAAAAGTACTGAGGAAGCAGGGCAGGTACAGCTGCACAGGGGAGGGGTTTGCCAGGACCTGCTCTGCACCAGCACAGTGCCCTCCGAGGAGGGATGTTCCCTGGGGAGAAGATGTTTGGACAACACAGGAGCTCTTCTTGGTGATCCTGCACAGGGACAGAAAGGGTAAAACCCCCTGAGCATATTGGTATCCACTATTTCCCTCTCCTAGGAACAAATCTGTATCCTTGAGGGCCAGAGTGATCCATCCTCATCAGTATTTCTGGTCAAACTGCTCATCCTGGAGAGAAAGGAGCTCTCAGAGGAGCCAGTTCCCTCATTCCCACCACACAACTTGCTGTCAAAGCAAGAAGCATGTTAGCCATGAGCCCAGATGATTTTAGGAGCTCTCTAGGGAAGGTACCTTGGGGCAGAAAACACATTTTACAGCTAAATTAATTGCAACCACCCACCTGATCCTTCTGGGCTGCATGAGACATCACCTTGTAAGAGTCTGGGTTTGTCCAAAACCCAGGGGAGGTGGCAGTTTCTGGGCACCACAGGGGACAAGGTCTGGCACATCTCTCCACTGTGGGAGCGTGGCCAGAGAGTGGCCAAGGGGGAGAGACAAGTGGGAAGGAGAAAATATCTTCATGTCTGGAGCTTGGACCAATGCACACAGCACAGACACTGGCTGGGACACCTTCCTCCTGCTGGCTCCTCTGCTGCCAGGGAATTGCCGGCTGCCTGGAAGTGCCTGTCTTGGGTTGGTGAGGAGCCAAGCTCAGAGCAGATGCTTGGCCAGAGGAAGGGCATTAGCAGGAGGAAATGGCTGCAGGCCCTTGCTTTGGGCAGTGTCACTTTTCTTCACACAGAGCAGATCTGCAGCTGATGCCCCAAGGTCTCAGCAGCCTGTGGCACCACTTCAAGCTCCACTGGGGAAAGAGCTGGAGCTGCTGCTCCTGTGGAAGTTTCTTCAGGTTTTGATCTTCTCGAGTGCTGAGCAATCCAGCTCAGCCTCTCCTTGTCAGCCCTGTGCTCCCCTGCCAACCACTCCAGGAACCTCTGCTTTCCTGCCCACACTGCTCAGGAAAAATGGAGTTTCAAGGCAATATTCCTTGCACCTACCTGTGTCTCCACCTGGATTTGACCACTTTGAGCAGCAGTGGGAGGTATCTGTAGCCAGGTCACAGCCACAGCACTGCAGGTGCTGTTTCTGAAGGGCATTCAGACCCTCCTGCAAGGATGAACAGCGGAGCCTTGGACATGCACACACAGAGCCAGCAGCTCTCAGGACATCATTACACTGCTATTTATGAGATTCCCCTTTTTGGTGAAGACCCAGATCAATATCTTACTCTTCCCAGAAAGCTGTTCCCATCACCTCAGAGGACATGATTATTTTCAGGCTGATCTGGGGCACTTTGCAGCCAACAGATCCAGCCAGTCTGTACTGGCACGAATTCTCCTGGGGCTGCTTTGGCATCACTGAGATGCCTTTTCCACGCTGGGAACAGGGTGCACTGGAGCTGCCTCCTTGAGCACCAAGAAGGCTGGAGGGGAGAAATTCTGTGTAAACTGTGGAGAAAGCAGTGAAGGACTTGAAGAGGCACTGGAGTGAGTGAGGAGGAGCATCTTTGTGCAGGGGGTGGCAGCATGTGGGAGCTGTGAGAGCTGTGAGCTCTTACCTGAGCTCTGCAGGGGCTCCACAGGCTGTGGAGAAGCTGCTTCTGTTCAGGATTCAGAGCAGGGAGAGGCTGATGGAGCTGGATGTCCTGGGAGATCCTGCAGTCCTGCCTTGGATGAGCCACCAGCTGAGCAGCAGTGGCATCACCTGAGCAGCAGGGTGGGGAGGCCCTGGCACAGGCTGGCCAGAGAGGTGTGGATGCCCCATTCCTTGGAAAAACTCACAGCCATGTTGGACAGGGCTTGGAACAACAGAGTGTCCCTGCTCATGGTGTGAGGGCTGGAATGAGATTGTCTTTAAGGTACCTTCCACCCCAAATAATTCCAGGATTCTGTGATTCCCAGGCTTGATTTCCCTGTATCAGAAACACATCAACACCTGCAACCCCTGCAGAGCTGTCCCCACATGGGAGCTCCTGTGCTCCACAACCAGGTCCTGACCAGGGCCACACACAGGCAGGGGATGAGTCCTGTGGGGCCTGACCTGCTCACCTCTTCCCAAAATACTCTGCCAAGCCTCCAAGGACAGGGCTGAGTCACCTCCACAGATCTCAAGGCATGCAGGGCAGTCTGGCCCTGGGAATTCTGCAGCTCATTTGTGCAGCTGGGCAACGGAGTCAGCAAAGGGTTAAAGTCCCCCTGCCTCTCCCTCCATAAGCAACAATTTTTTCGAGGAAGTTTGGATGTTCATAAAGAGTCTTTAGGGACAGACAGCCACAAACTCCCTCCAACCCACTCTGAGGAGAAAGGAGAGTTAACATCCCCCAGCCCACCACAGGTACATCCCCCTCACTGGGGATGGGGCTGAATCCAGCCTGGAAGAAAACATCCGGACAACCTGTTCCTTCTGTGTTTGCCAAAGCAGGTGTCCGGGATGCAGAGGTGCAGTGCTGTGCCACGGCAGTGAGTGAGCCTGTCCCAGCCCCATGTGTGCCCCTGACACATCCCTCACGTCCTGAGCAGTGCCAGTGCCACAGCTGAGGCACCTGGAATAACCCCCGTGGGTTATTTAGGGAGCCTGGCTCTGGGTGGTGACCCCGGAGGTGGATATGCAGCTGCAGATCCTGGCATGCCACCCCAGCAGCACTGCAGCAGGCTCAGCCCGTGCCTGGGATGGGGTCACAGCCCCCACAGCCGCTTTCATGCACTCTCCGCAGTGACCATCCCCTCCCGGAGCTGCCGTCCCACCCTGGAGCGCAGCCTGCTCCCAGGGATCGTTACCAGGAGCTCGTGTGTTTGGTTGCAAACAGAGCAGGAGCGGGAGCCAGGCGCTCGTGTTTGTGTGCCTGCGGTTGCTCAGGCAACTCGGGGCCAGCCAGGAGCTGCCAAAATCCTCGGTGGCCAGGGCCAAGCCCCCGGCACAGCTGCCCCGGGGCAGAGCGGCTCCGGCTGCCCGGCCGTGAACAGAACCAGAGCGGAGCGTCAGTGCGGACGGGGTTTATTGCAGAGCCGGGTTACAGCGTGGGCCTGCAGCATCCTTTGGTTTGGGCTTCACGAAGGGAGCGGGGCGCCACGGGGGTTCGGCTCGGACACCTTTGCCGATGGCCAGGCGACACCAAACTCTCTCCTGGGCCAGGAGCATCCCGGCAGCTCCGGCACCGCAGGGTCTGAGCCTCGAGTGCCGGGCAGCCCCGAGGGGAGGGGAGGAGGCGGCTGTGGCGGGACTGGCGCGGGGTTAAGGCAGGGCCCCGGAGGGGAGCACGGGCGGCGGTCCCCGTGGGACGAGGGAAGTGCCCCGAAAGCCGGGGCTGAGGTAGGGAAGGTCTGGGCGCCGGCGGGGCAGGGAAGCCCTGAGGAGCAGCGCTGTTAGTGCGGTGTGGGGCTGGGGTGACACACGGGGGACGCGGGAGGGGCGGCGGGATCACAGCGCAGCGGGGACGGGCGCGGCGCTGGGGCCGAGATCGCGGCCCGGCGACTTCCCCAGCGCCCCCAGGCCGGGCAGCCGACACCCCGCCAGCCCGGGCCGGCCCCAGCGCTGCCCCCGGGCCCCAGCGCAGCCCCCCGGGCCCCAGCGCTGCCCCCCGGGCCCCGGCTCACGGGCACGTCCCTGGGTGGGCACCGAGCCGCGGCCGGCGCGCAGGGACCGGGGCGGTGGCGCCACGGGCACCCGTCCCTACTTTTTGACTTTGGCGTCGTAGGTGCCCGCGTTCTTGTAGGCACTGACGTAGCCGCTGGTGTCCACGATGTTCTCCCGGCCGCTCTTGCCCTTGCCCTTGCCACTCTCGTCGAAGCGCTCCTTGTGGGAGCCCGTGTACTTGGAGGTGTCCGTCAACCTCTCCACGGCTCCCACTGTCTTGGCTTTCTGCAGTGGGGACAGGAGACAGGGGAGATAAGAAGATGCTCCTCAGGTCCCCCCTCACCCAGGGCCTTGGGGTCTCCCAGAAAGCATCTGCGCTGTGGGCAGAGTTCCATCCTCCCCTCCTGATGATCACTCCTGCTCCCACAGCCCCGGGGCTCTCACTCACCGTCACACCCACGTTGATGGGCTCCTTCCCTGCCACCAGCTGGCAGATGGCTTCGTACGCCTCCTCTTTGCTCTTGTCCTTAAACCTCTTGGGGGCCAGCTCCTCCAGAGCCTTCTTGAACTCCTCGTAGTTGATGACACGGGCTGTCTTCCCTCTGCAAGGACAAAACTCAGGCTGCCACCAGCACCTCTTTGGGTTCTGCCTCCAAATGGGATGAGCAGCATCAGAGAGACTCTGACTTTGACCTACACCACCCTTGGGTACCTCACCAGGTTCTAAAATTCAGCTACAGCTGAATGGGCCGGGCTGGGCACAGCTGGTGCTGAGCTCCAGGAGCTTTTCAGCCACATGCTGTGGAAATCCCTGTTACCAAACACCAGGGTGCATGGAAGTGCTCTGGGACTCAGTGCTGGAGTCAGGAGAGGAGTGCATCCATCCCCACTGCTCCCAGCCTGCCTGGGTTGCCCACCACACTCCCCTGTCAAATTTGGAAGGACATGCACAGAGTAGCTCTCCCCTGAGCTCCTGGTCCTCATCTCTGGGGCAGCACAGCAACCTCCTCTCCTGCAACCCAAAAACCTCCCAGTGTTCAGCTCCGTGTGACCTAACCCAGGAACATGGGAATTCCTGGACAGAGCACATGGAGGAATCAGGCTCTCTACCCATCCTTGTTCCCAGACCCTGGTGTGGAGCACGAAGCATCATTGTGTCCCCAGGGACCCTAAAAGCAGTTCCAGGTACCTTTTAGTCCTTCAAGCTGCCCGTGTGGCTGCCATGGACCAGAGTCCTCCCCCCCAACCTTGGGCGTTAGCTGGCCAGGCCCAGGGAAGGGCCACATCTCATGGGATAACCCTGAGCACCTTCCTCTGCTCCCTGTGGCACATCTTGAGAGATGGGAACCTGGCAGAGCCAGCCAGGCCGACCCCAGTTCTTGGAGTGGGAGCAGGGGCACAATCTCTGCACCAAATCTGAGCCTCCCACCCCCAAATTTGAGTTGATTCATTATTAGGTCTTGCAGAAGCAGCCACATGTCCCACCTGAAGGTGGGACACTGCAGGACAGCCCCCACAGCTCCGTGACAAGTGGGAAGCACAGCCTGGGCACACAGCAGGGGTAGCAGAGCTCTGTGGGGACCCCCACACCCAGACACCGACACCCTGCCCATGCTGCAAAGGCATCCAAGTCACTTACTTCACCTTGGAGAAGACAATGTCCACGTCGGTGCTGGTGACGCTTTTGCCGTCGGTGACTTTGCAGTCTTTGCACAGCTTAGCCCAGTTCTTGCCGTTCATCTCCTGCCCCGTGGCCTTGGTGTCGCCGTAGATGGCGAATTTGCGGAAGCTCTCTTCCAGGGATGCCATCTCAGCGTTCCCGGCCATGGTGCTCAGGACGGGGCAGACGGGCCCGGCACCGCCCAGGCTCCTGCTGGCTGCACGCAGAGCTCAGCCGGCTGCTCCAGGCCCTCGAGGGCAGCAGGAGGAGGAGGAGGAGGAAGGCTGGCGAGGGTGGCGGCTCTGCAGCAGGATCGGGGTGTTGGCAGCACCTGCGGGCGTGGGATGGGGGCTGACGGCAGGCTCGGATGAGCCCCGAGGCCGAAAGCCAAGAACGGGTCTTGGGGAATGGAGGCTCCTGGCCGAGAGCTGCCAGCAGCGAGGCTGTCGGCTCCGGGGCTGGCGGGGAGTGAGTGCATCAGCCTGTCTGTCCCCTCGGGAGTGCTCTCCGGGAATGACGCAATGCGTCCGCCTTCCTCCCGCTCGCACATCAGGAGAAGCGGCACCGCCGCCTGCCCTCAGCCCCACCTCTCCCCTGCCTCCATCCCCCCGTGCGGAGCCTGCAGCACCCCAGCCCTGTCACCTGCCCCCAGGGCTGGGCCGAGCGTGGTGCCCTGCAGGGTGACGAGTAGCCAACAAGTCTCTGTACCCCGTGGCGGCACTGTTGCTGCTGTCCCATCCCCGCCTGCCATCTCCTCGCCAGCCTCGCCCTGGCGGCTCAGCATCCCTCACCACGCGTGGAGCACCCACAGCATCTCGGCCAGGACCGGGCACGGCAGAGCTCGGGGAGCTCCAGCACCCGGAGGGTTCTCCGGCACCCCGAGGTGCAGAGCGGGTACCTCGCCCGGTGGGTGCCCGGGCAAGAGAGGCTGGCATGGGGCCCCGGGGCCACGGCGAGGGCCGGGGAGTGGTCCCTAAGACCGTCGCTAGGGAGGATGGGCGTTGCCTGGCGACCGTCGCTAAGGAGGCGCGGCGGGGCGGGGATGCCGCCGGTCGCCTCCCGGCCTCGTCCTCCCGCGGGCTCCCGCCGCCCCGGGCCCGCACGGCCCCGCAGCGCCAGCCGGGGCTCTCCCCGCCCGGCTGGGAGGTCACCGCCGGCGGCTGCGGGATGCCGGGGCAGCGACGATCCCCGCCCGCCCTTCCCCCGGGTTCCTCCCTCCCGTGCAGCGGCCCCGGGACGGGCACCGGAGGGGCCGCGCGTGGTCCCGGTCGCTCGGTCGCTCACCTCCAGGGCACTCAGTCCCCTCCCGGTCAGTGTCTCGCCTCCCGGCGCCGCGCTCTGAGGCGGGCGGGGGCGGCCCCGCCGCCTGTTTAAGGCGCCGCCATGGAGCCGGGAGGGGCCGGGCCGCCCCCGCCCGCCCCCCCGGGCCGCGGCACGGCGGGAGCGCCCTCGGGGCGGGGAGACGGAGCCCGGGCAGCGCACCCGGACCACCTCTGGGACCCCCACCACCTCGTGAAGCCTCTCTGATTCCCCACAAGACCCTACCGGCACCTGACCGGTCTTTCCTGCACCCCGCGAGGTCGCTCCATCACCCTGCAAAGCCCCAGCGTTGTCCCACAAGGTCACTGCAGCACCCCCGAGGCCCCACCATCAACCCACAAGGTCTCTCCACCACTCCCTCAGCACAGACTCCCTCCCCCTGGCACCCCGGCTGTGCCTTACCCTCCAGCCCTTTCCCCTGCCCCACACAGTCACCATGCCCCATAGAGGAACTGTCCTCTTGGTGGGTGACACCAAGGACCAAAGCCTCTGCCCAGGCTCAGGAGACAATGCCAACCTTTCTGGTGTGCCAGGGACTGTGGTGAGCACCTGTGGCCCAGTGAGACACCCTTGGAGCAGCCACAGGCCAGCCAGCACTGCCCACCCTGGCAGCTGCAGCATGACCACACGCTGGGCTCCCAGTGGGTGCTGCGAGCTGAGGCAGTGCCCAAATATTGTGGTTGTCATGGAGCCCCAACACAACCCACAGCTCTTACTCACTGCCCCACCTCAGCTGTTTGCCCAGAGCCTGCTTTGATCCCAGTGCCCTCCTGGCATTGCTCAGGGGTGCAGGGCATCGTGGGTGATCAGCTGCAGCACCAGCAGGAGCTGTGCACAGCCGGGACACACGGTGTGAGATTTGCTGCTGCCTTGGGGGTCCTGAGGACAAATCAGCAGCCTTGGGAACTGGGAAGTGGCTCAAACATCAGTCTTTGGCACCCTGTGGTCTGTCTGCCCTGCTCCCTGTGCAGAGAACCTGCAGGTTAAGGACAAACACAGGTGTCCCCACGGCTGAGCTGCCCCAGGGCATCAGTTCTGCTTGTGCACCCAGAGCATTTTGCTGTGGGGCACAGTGCCAGTGACAACCTCCCCCACTTGGCTGAGGGGTACCTGTTCTCTGCGGCTGAGCTGCCCCAAGGCATCAGTTCTGCTTGTGCACCCAGTGCATTTTGCTGTGACAGTGCCAGTGACAACCTCCCCCACTTGGCTGAGGGGTACCTGTTCTCTCCTGAGGCACTGTTGCCTGTTCTTGACTGGACAAAGCCATGAGCACCCCACTCACACTGATTCTCTCTTGGATTAGTGCCTGAAGACCTCCAGAGGTAACCACCAGCCAGCTCTGGGAGTTAGGGATCACTAACCTTACCTGTCCCTTCAGAGGTGAGTGCCAGGGCTGGTGCCAGAGGCCCCAGGTGTGTCACAGCCCCCAGCCAGCTGGTCAGGCACATGAAGGACCCCACTTTATTATGCCCCCAAACCAACCCTGGGGCCCCTCCATCAGGGGCTCCACAAGAGCTGCTCTTTCACAGCCCAGCCAGAGGCAGGATGGCAAGGACATCCTGGAGGGGACAGTCCAGAGTGGGAAGGGCAAGTGTGGAGGCTCACCTGATGCCAGAGTCCAGGCAGATCTCTCCAAGTGTTTTTCCTGTCTCTGGTTTGTCCTGGTAGAGCTCAGACATGGCCAGAGAGCCTGGGAGCTACCAGGAGGACTCTCCTGATCACACATCTTCCTGCTCCTCATACAATACTAAAGCAGGTTCCAAAGTGCAGGGGGCCAGAGCTGACAGTGCCTGCCTGTGAAGTGGGAATTTCAACCAGCCTCTCTGCAGGCCAGCAAGGACCCAGGGGTGTGATCCCACCTGCAGAAGGTGGGGAGGAGCTGTAAACTCTCTGTTTTAAGAGCAAGGGAATAACTACTGCCACACAGAGGAGGGTGGTTAAATCTTGAAGGTACAGTCCTATCCTACAGCCCTGCAGCTGCCCACCAAAGCAGGTGTCTGGCTCTGCTTCCAGCTGACAGCTCCAGACAGGAGCCAGGTAATATCAGCTGGAGCACCCAGCAGGATTTGGCAGCTGTGGGCAGCGTGGGAGCCTGGATCCTTCGAGCCAGCAGCAGGTGGAGGAGGAGTTGGACATGTGGGCAGCTCTTCTGTAGGAGCTCCAGCTGGTCCTGGGGCTGCAGAGCCCAAGGAGCCCAGCAGTGGCACACGGGGAGAGCCGGGTACGGGGGCGCTGAGCCACGGCTGCTGAGCTGCCCACGGGGTCGGGTTGAGCAGGTCAGATTTCGGTTCCTAAGGGCTGGGCTTTGTTGTGCGTTTGTTGTCACCATGACAGCCCTGTTGGGATGGAGCACGGTCCTTGGCCGGCTCCCGCTGTTCCTCATGCAGCCCGGAAAAGGAAGCCCGGGAGGAGGCTGTGACTTGGTCCGCAGCCCACGGGACGGGCAGGAATTGAGGGAGGTTGCACAGGTCCTGTGATGTGATGTGATGGAGGAGCATGCAAAAGGCTTCGTGCTCAGCTTGCCGGGGGCCTTTCCCTTCTAATCAAGGTCAGGATGTTCCCAGGCTGTCTCCTGCCCCAGGGACATAATAATGAACCGAATACTCCAGCGCTCACCCCAGACACACCGAGGTTCACACACAGCTGCATCCCCGAGGTGCAGCTTCGACTGCCGGGCTGCTTCCTGCTGAGTGTCCCTCTCCCCACCCTCACACGGAGCTCGGAGCGCTGTGGCTGCTCGGGTGCAGCTCAGAGCTTGCACGAGGGCACAAGCACAACCTCTGAGCACCCCCTGTGCTCACCCCCATCCTCTTTGCCCTCGCTTCCCCCGGGGCTGGGCACCGCAGCCTCCCGGGACTCATCCCGTTTCAGGAATGAGTCTCTGGCTCGGCCGTGTCTGGGGTGGGATGAGGTTATGCGGGAACGCCGCTTCTCTAGCGCGAGTTGCTACAAAACAGAGGGAAGTGTTTCGGAGGTTGTGCAATATGTACACGGTCACCCCAGCAACAGCGTGTCCACAAGGCATTAGCGGGGCTTAGCTGCGGCTGCCGAGCGGGACCGTGCCGTGCCGTGCCGTGCCGGGTGTGCCACCGAGCACGAGCTGCGGCCGTGCCGTGCACGGCACCGGGCACAGGAGCGGGGCAAAACTCCATCCCTCGGCAGGAACTTGCTTTTGCCCACCCTGCAACTCAAGGCAGCTCATGGAGATGCTCTCAGGACGTGTCAAAAGCAGCGCAGGAACAGCCTCCTACAAAATCATTTCCCAAAGGAAGGTCCCCTTGACTTCAAAGAGGAAACAAAGAAACTTGAGCCAGGCTCAAAGATGAAAGTAACCACGAGGTGCATCCCATGCCAAGGCGGAGGCTTGGAGCAGGCACTGCGGGGCCTGGCACAGCTGCCAGACAGTGGCCAGGGACCATGACATGATTTCAGAGGATTGTGGAAAGCTGTCATCCTGCAAATCATTGCTTCTTCCTAATAGAAAGCCACAATGTCTTGTGGTGGAAACAGCTGGTCCAGGGCACTGCCTCCAGCTGGTGGGAGAGTTCATGTCCTGGCAAAAACCTTTTATTTAGTGCTGGAGAAAGTGCTTGAGGATGTCAGACCTCAGTGTGTCTGCAGTGATGTGGAGCTGAAGCATCAGAACTTCTGCTGTCAGGACCTTAGCCCAGCTTCCTTATGGCCTTGGGCTGAAGCTTGTGGTCATTGCAACCTTCTGGTGCTGAGCCCAGCACTGCTGTGCCCATGCTGCTCTGCAGCAGCACCCCAATGTCACTTGTTCCTTCTGCCACAGGTCTGCGATGGACATTCCTCATGCAGAGCAGCAGAAATGCCATTGGCACTTGAACCTGCAGAGCATCAACATTAAAGGCGCAAGAGGATAAAAGCAAGGTTGGGAAGGAGAGTCCAGGAGCTAAAACCATCTCAGTCTCACCATTTTCACTCTTGGGTGCTCACTGTGCATCTTCAACAGTGCTCCTTGGATGTGGCAAAAACATAAACCCCAGCCAATTTCTACAACCATGTGGCACACACAATTCTCCTGCTGCCCCTGAGGTTTAGGAGATCAAAGTGCAACACTGGCAGTGCTGGGAGCCCATCCTGCTGGAGCCTGGCTCTTGGCTCAGCACCCAGCTGCTCCAATGCATGGACACAGCCTTGCATGTTTGGCAGTCTTGAGTTATTCAGCAGAGTGGAGCAAATGCTCCATGCTGAAGGCAGCAGAAGGATGTGCCTGGACATCTGCTGGCCCAGAAAACCCAGTTCCCCTCAGCCCAAAGAGCACAGCAGCCTTTCTGCAGCACAATGCAGAGCTGGCTGGGCTTCCTTCTTCTGGTGCTCATCCTGCTCCAGCACAAAAAGCAGGCTGGGTTACACAGCTCAGAGAGAAGATGGTCTGATCCCTACCCCTCAGGGAAGACACTCCCATCTAACACCCAAAAGGCCCCGTGGAGAAGGGACTGCTGTCACCCCCACAGCAATTACAATGCTGAGTCCTTCTGGGACTGCAGTGGCTCAGGGAGAAGTGAACCAAACAGCCTGGGGATCAATAGGACAGAGCCAGGAATTGCTGCAAAAGAAAGGAGGAAACTATTTAGCAAAGAATATAGAAAATTTTATTGTGGTCAGAGCTACCAAAGAGCTCCATACATGATTTTGGGACTGATTCTGCATGGACAGAGTAAGAAAACACACAAGGTCTGCTCAGGGGCACTTGCTGAAGAGGAATTACCAATGCTTTCTGGTGGAGGGACAGCTGGCCTTGGCAAACCATGAGCCCAGCATTGCTGCAGGACAGAGTTTCCTTGGATGACAGAGCACATGAGGAGAAACAACAGGAAGGATTTTGTCTAACTGGGACCCACTGGTGAGCAATGCCCTGGTCTCTGTGTACACCCAGTGCCATGTCTGCTGGTCCACACTCCCCTGCTTTCCCAAAGGGTCACACTGCCAGCAGGCACCACTGGCCACAGCAGGCAGGGAAGCTGCAAGGAGTGTGACCACAGGACAGCCCTTCCTGCAAACTCAGACAAAATTACTTCAACAGCTACATCAGACTTAACTTTTTCTGCTCAACAGATTGTGTAAT